AATAAGCTCTCAACACTATCATATAAATATATTTTTATATTGATGAGCACTGAAACTAGTTTCACATGCATTTGTGTATGTGTGTGGAACTGCATTCACCCTATGGGGTGATGTTAGCCCTTCATTTTTTTTAAATGATCTTTGTCATTAATTTAAATTATTTTTTAAATATTTTTATATTACATTTATCAAAATAAAAATATTATAAAAATTATAATTTTGGACTATTTTTCATGCTTATCAAAGGATGAACACTATAGCAATCGTCATCCTGAATAAGATTTGGACAACTCAAATTTAAAATTTTATTTTTATTCTTATTAAAATAAACATTGTAACAAATATAAAAATATTTAATAAATTTTTTTATCATCAATCTAATTAGTATAATTTAATTTAGATAATCTAATTTAATATTAATTTTTTAATAATTTTTATAAATTGATTATCTAAATATACTCTGGACAATACACATATAATTTGCAAAATTTAATTTAATATTATTTTTTTAAATTTTATAAATTGACCAAGTAGATATATACACTTTTAAATGTTCATATTTAATAATAAAAAATTTTATAATTTTTATATATTTTTATTTTGATAAATATAATATAAAAATATTTAAAAGCAATTTACAATTAACGGAAAAGATCTGAAGGCCAAGATTACCCACAGGAAAACAAGTATCGAATGCGATTCCATATGTGCTCAAGTGGGACCCCTCTAGGCCATACGTCGGTTCGCCCATGCAATTATGAATGAGTGCTATTCACCATCTTTTAACTGTAAGACGTGTTAGCCCTTTAGGCCATATTCGCTGTCACATTTCAAGTCAAATCTAGTCCGTCACATTGTGTTAATAATTCCGGAACACTGACAATTATATCTGAAAATATTGAATTAATATTATTAAATCAGATAAAATTATTTATAAAATAAATTATAAATATTAATTTAAACAGTTATAAATAAAATTTTTTATTATAATTTAAAAATTATATTTAATATTTAGATACTTATTTATAATTAAAACTTTTAAATTTATAATAATTTCTATTCAAAATTTTTAACTTATATTTAAAAAAAATTCAAGAACTCAACTGATATTAATTTAATATTTTAAACCTTAACTGTTATTCTTTCAATAATTTAACAGATCTATCAACAGAAGAAAGTTCTATATTTTATTTTAATTAAATATAAAGGTTGAAGGAGGCCTTATTGTTATGTTTTAAATCTTTGGGGACTTAAATCCGGTCAACCTAAAATTTAGGAATGCTATATGTATTTTAGCCAATATTTTATGTAGTTAAAAGTTTAGACAAGTATGATTTTGGAACCATTAAAATTAGAGCATGTCTTTGAGTTGAAAAAGAAATTATAGAAAAATTTATAAATTGTTCATCAATAAAGTTCTCGTATTACCAACATGATTTGATTTTGTGTCATTTTATAAATTATGAGTCAAATTTTTACTAACTAAATCAACTTTTGATAACATATTTTAGCCATTTTAATATACCAAGTTTACAACTTTATGAGGGACGGATCTAGAACCACTAGTGTGGGGGCCAAAGTGTAAAATTATATAATATGGGGGTAAAAATAAATTTTAATATTTTTTACAAGTGAAAATCAGATTATGTAAAAATCTTGTCACATTGGGGCAAGTCGCCCCTGCTTCCCAGCGCCCCCCTAAATCCATCACTGAACTTTATGACAACTTTAATGAAGGAGATGAGACTTCAAAGTACTTTTGTGAATTTACAGGACTTTTTATGTTTCAATTTCTTTCACAGAGCCTTTTCTTTAATATTCCCTCCATTTATTATTGTAAGATTTTTTTAAAGTAACATATTAAAAAAGATAAAATCTTTTAAATCTTTTAAAGTAAAATTAGTAAGATTTTTTTAAAATACTCTTAATTAAAAGTGTAATTAATAAATTAAAAAATTGAAACACTTTATAAAGGCAAACATGGAAACATTGTGTATTTTTAAAGACATCTAATTAATTCATTGATATTGTAATTCAATTAAAATTACTTTATATAATATTAAATTAAAAGAGTAAATATCAGATAAGTGTGCGGTATACTAATTTTTTTTTTTAATACAGGAGCTCTCTAACCTAGCCATGGGGGTGGGAAATGATTCCTAAAGTGAGGTGTTGTGGCTTTCGCTTTAAATTGCTGGTATCACTATCACTTTGCAAATTTCAAAGTGACGATGCATTTTGTTCTTAGAAGTCTTCAATTAATGTTTGAAACACGAGAAAGTGGAGATAAATTATATATTTAAACAAAAGTAATATTTTTGTTCTTTTCAATTTTAATGGGCGGTAGGAAATGATTCAGAAAGTGCGATTATGCGTCTTTTGCTTTAAATTGCGAGTATCGCTGTCACTTTAACAATTTTCCGAATTGATGAAGCATTGCCATTTGTTTTTAAAACTCTTGAAGTTTTTTTTTTTTTGGACCGTAAAAGTCTTGAAGTTTGGAACACGAGAAAGTAGAGATAAATTATTTTAACAGAAGTAATCTCTTTTCCCCTCCTTCTGTTATATAATTAATTTCAATCCCTTTCATCCATTATGATCCGTTCTGATTTTGTCATTTTGTGTGGGAGAGGACATTGATCGACATTATGGGCTTCATTCTATTTCAATTATTAAAGAAAATGACATGTCCTTGTTTATCAAAAAAGAAAAAAAGAAAATGATATTTCCCTCCGTTGAATTACCAAGGACATAAAACTCCACAAGCTTCTTTAATTAAATAAACCACATGCAAATTAAAGAGAGTGAGTCTGTATTATACAATGGGAAGAAGCGTCTCTTCACTGTCACAAGTTAATAACTGTTGACTTATTTGGTCAAAATTAACATTATTGACTTGACTCTGTCAATTCTTAAGCGATAAATTAAGAATTGAAAACAAACATATTAAAAAAAATAAAAGTATATTTTTGCGTCTAAAATATTTCTTGAAGAGCACCCAACATTCTATCATTTTTATTAGTACAATTTTGCTCTTAAAATTATTAAATGGAACATTTTTACCTTATCTATCAAATTTTTTAACAATTAACGTTTGAGGTTAACATTAAAATTTTGACAAAAATGATAAAAATGCTCCGTTTTGATAATTTTAAAGGCAAAATTGCTGCAACAAAAATATTAAAATACTGGGTGCTCTTCGAAAAATACTTTAAGGGCAAAAATGCACCTTAACAAAGGAAAAAAACATACAAACTATCATCTTCAATGGACTTTTAAGATGGAGGGACATTTAACTATTATTTAACTTTTTCTCATTAATACATGCTCTCTTCATTTTTATATATAAGCAAAACTTTCATATATTTCCTCTTTTTTTTCATTTAATTTAATTGATAAGAATTGAATGGTTAACCTATAAAGTTTAATTTTTTAAATAATAATGATTGATATAAAAAATAATTATTTAAAACTAACTAAAAGTAAGGAACTGAAAAGGTACTTTATAAAATTCAACAATCAAATTAAAATTTATATAAAATTAGAAAACTAAAAATATGCATCAATTTAATTTTTTTTTTGGCTATAAGGAAAAGAAAAGTAATTTATGAAGCAAGTTGAATTCAACATTTTGTTTTTGGTAAAATTTGAATTGAATTTATGGAAAGGACAGCAGTCGGCGGCGAGAAGGCATGGGCTTTGATTGGGTTGGGTGCACTCGATCGGTTGCCTCTGTACCACTAAGTATAGTAACAAAAACACAGCTTCAATTATCAAGTAAACGAGAAATAACTAATGAACATGCTTGTAACCTTTCTTCATAGCCTTGGCAATATAGTTAACAATATTGTGAATCCATCAATTATCAGAGAACAACTAACAACAACAACAACAACAAGCCTTTATCCCACTAGGTGGGGTCGACTATATGGATTGCAAGACGCTATTATGCTCTATCATTTATCAAGCTTTTAAGAATATTATTAATTAAGAGATCGCGTTCAACAACTTCCAAAAGTGTTCTCTTAGGCCTTCCTTCACCTCTCTTAATCGGACTCAAAGTTATACATGAATGCAAAAGTGAAATTCTTAAGGGCGCAATCAAACCCAAGTTTAATTGTAAATTTCTTTCAAACAATTAATACAAATAAATCTCTAATATTAATTAATTGTATTATACATGGTGCTGCGATTTCCTCTTACCATCAATAACAGTAACATGAGGGAAATTTTCATTTTGTAAAATCCAACCTTTGGTTTCTAGCTTTTGATAATCCTTAACTTGGGGGAAATTTTATAAGCTCAGTTATAAATTCTAAAGGTTTAGTTGTAAAGAACGAAAATTTAGTTGCATATATATTAATTGTAAATTGGTAAAGTTTTGTAAACTAATATAAAAAGTTTAATTATAAAATTCGAAATGCTTAGAAGATTAATTGATAAAACTTTTTAATTATTGCTTGGTATTTTAATCCATAATTCACCATTGATTTGCAGCTGATATTTGAAGATTTAAATTGAGCTCTCACGGTCTGCGACTAAGCTTTTTCAATTTACGCAGCTGAGCTATTTGTTGACTTCGTAGGAAATTTTTATCCATTCATTATTATTTTTTTAAGAAAAATGGATTCTTGGCCATAACTTTGTAATTTTGTGGTCCCAATTATTAATTTGTTTCCATGGTCCTTCCATGTCATTTCCCAACTCTAAAATTTAAAAGCAAAAAGTTGACTTTGATTCGTGTTCTTCTGTGTTTATGGAGGGATCTATTATTTGTGTACCAACTACCAGTAGAGACGGATCTTAGTTCATAACTTATCTCCATCAGCAACTATGTCTTCCTTGGCTTCTTCGTCGGCCAAACCTAAATTCGCTTCCTACTACGACGTCTACTTAACATTCATAGAGACCACAAATTTCAATGAAGACTTTCTGGTTAGATCTCTAAGAAACGAAGCTATCACAGTTTTCGTGGACTGCATATATCCTTCAGCGATGATGAGCATGTCTCTGTCTCCCGCACAGAAGGCCATGGAAAGGTCAAGAATTCTTATGGTTATTTTCACACCGAAATTCCTTGTTGCCTACTCCAACAAATTATTTATTGAGAGACCCCAGAAAGTGACGGAGTGTCACAAAACGATGAATAAACCGGTGGTTCCTGTATTCTGGGGAGTGAAACAGAAGCAGGTGGTTAATCATTTGGCGACACGATACAAGGTTTTGGATTGGATAGGAGCCGCCGTTGATGCTACATCGCAATCCGGCTTCAATCTGCCCACTGATTCCAGGTCACAACTAATTCTTCTTCTTCTTCACTCTCTCTCCCTCTTTCTGGTATCAATCTTTATATTACTGATATTCGTGGATTTCTGGTATTTTGGTATTTTCGCTGCTGTGCCTTCACGCAGGTTTTTTTTTTTTTTTTTTTTGGGGGGGGTTATCTATAGGTATCCTCCCATGGAACAATCTTATTTAAGACACTATTGTCAGCACTAAATATTAGCACCTCTTCCAACGAAAATTCGAATATTGGTTTGGCATGTTATGAGAAACTAACTACAATGCAAGTTTTATTTGACATTTGGGACTTATATCCAAATATTTAGGCTAGTTTGCGTGCTATAATGAAATGGATTAAAAAATAAAAAAAATACAATGATCAAGATGTGGAAAAGAGATAAGTCCACATGTTCATGAGGGGTGGGCAATTTAGTTCACAAGGTTTTGATTCATGATTCTTGAGGTTTGTGACAGGTGTGTAATTCTCATATTTGGAATATATAGTATTGAGTTTGTTATGTTTACCATGAGATATTAGATAATTTAATTCATTTTTATTCTTATTTTTTGAATCCGTTCCCTTCCGGCAAGCAAATGGGTCGTTTGAGTCTTTCAATTCCTGTGGCCAATAATTGGATATGTTGGTATTCACTTTGAATTTTTGATTTACTTCATTTGGGTTTTGGTAAGTCAGCATCTGTTGTTGTTGCAGAGCAACCTGGACCGTCCAAATATGAACGATCCAGATTCATTATATAATCTTTTACATTTTTTTAAAAATGAATTATACTTCCTCTTTTTTAAAAATAGGGATGAAAAGTTAAACACAAAATACTGGATTTATCTTCCTTTTCTTGAATTGGGCAAGTCAATGTTTGATTTGAGTTTAAATGAATTAAGAGAAAATTCTATGTTTATTATTTTGTTTGAGGGAAGTGAGATGATAAGTTACTTTCCTTAATGGACTGAGTCTGCGTGCTTCTCACATAAGTGATAAGTGCTCTTATTTTAATAGATGTGTATCATTAGAAGTTAGGAAAAATTAAATTTATACATACCCTTACTTAATAAGTTTAAGTTTTATTTAAGGGGATAAGTATATTTTTACTCAGGATAGAATATTTGTAGGCTGCATGACCAAAAAAAAAAAAGAAATATTTGTAGGCCAAGATTATTTCTGTGAGAACATGTTCAAGTATAATGTTAATAAAGTTAGTAAATGTTTACAGTTCTGTTTATATTGTTGACTCTTACGATTTGTGGTATTATCATTTCTTGGTCATGTTAATTCTGGTAAATTAATATGATGAATCTTGATTTAATTCCACAGACAATTAGGAATTAAACAAGTCTTGTACCAGTTGCATGCATGTCGGCTAAAATAAAAAAAGCCAACATTTTCCCCTATGGTAGAAAGAAGGTCAAAATTATTTGTTTCGGTTCACTCTGATCAGGGGTGGAACCAGAACAAGAGGACTTGTGGGGGAGAGAATTTAAAAAAAGTTATATTTATACTGATATTTTTTTAAAAAAAATTATATTTAGAATAAAAATTATATTAAAATACTTTTACAATATGAAAAAAGTCATAAGATAAGAATAATTTAGAATTATATAATTTTTTTAAAATATAAAAAAATAAATTTAAGTCCTAGTATATTTTTTATACACATAATAGAAACTTAAAAAAATTACATGCTTGGATGCTCCATGAACTTAAACTAATATTAACCTGGCAAAAAAAATAATATTAACCTGGAAAAAAACTAATATTTTATGTTTGCTCTTATTTAATAGAGTGTCTTAATTAAAAAATTTTATTAATTACACTCCCTAATTAAGAGTATATTTGAAAAAAATTATTAATTGCATATTGAAAAATCCAAAGCATCCTATATTTTCTATTATCTTATTTCCTGAAAATTATCTTATATTTTTAAACGAAAAAAATATATTTTTGTTTAATATGCATACAGCATAAGAAATTATATATGTGTGTAGGGGGGGAGTAATCTTTTTATTACAGAAGGGGTGGGACTTCATATGCACAGGCACACACAATAGCAGTACACCCTCATGCACAGGCACTCACAATAGCACAATATAAGTAGGTCTGCCCCTGACTCTTATATTTGTGATTTGCATGGTTGGCCTGCTATGGTTGACAAAAAAAATTTTATGACTTTCATTGATGATGACTACATTAGATATTGATATGTCTATTTAATTCATGCAAAGGATGAAATCTTAAAAAATTTAAGATTTTTAAAACTAAAGTAGAATCTCAATGAGAAACTTTTATCAATAATGTCTTAGGATAGACATAAGAGGAGAATGCTATGGTCCAAAATATTTTAATCTGTTGGTATAATATATCAAGTAACGAACCCTTATTATTCCCCACAACAAAATGATATAGTTGAAAAAAAAATAGAGTTCTAGAATAAATGGCAAATGCTATACTATTTTATTCTAGTTCTAGAACAATATACATGCAATCTTCAGTGAGTGGCACTTGGTCTAGGGGCTAGAAATTTAGATTATTATTTCGTTTTATAGAATACAGGATTGTGAGATTTAGGAATAAGATTTGTGGCTTTTTTAGCAAAACAGATAAGATTTGTGATGAAGTTAGTTTTGTTGCAATGTATATATGTTGTTTTAATTTGAAATAATGTTGATATCAATTCTGGCTGGATTATGTGTTGAGACTGTTCTAAATGTAAATTGTCATTTTTGCTTGTAGGAGGTTGCTTAAAACGTAGCTTCTACATTTAAAAAAAAATTGCCAACTCATATTTGATATAGACTTACACATTTGACTATTATTTGAAATAATCATCAAATATGCCCTTTCAAATTTGACCAAAAGAATTTCTAGTAAATTATAGCTGACGGTTATCAATAACCATCAAGTATAAGGCTACATATTTGATGGTTAAATAACTATCAAATATGTGTTAATGCAATAACTGTTAAATATATGAGAAAATAATTGTCAAATAAGCCTAAATTTATTGTAGCATATTGCTAAGCTGCATATCATATATTGATCATAGGGTTCCTATAATAAAAGAAAAAGATAATATAAACTACAGAAGAAAAGAAAACCCGATAAACTATTTTAGAGTTTGAGGATGCAAGGCAATAGTTAAAGTTCCAAAACCTAAAACGAAGAAATTGGATTAAAGAAGAGTTGAATGTATCTTCTTGAGATATATATGCTGAAAATAGTAAGGCATATTGGTTTTTTGGTAATTGAAAAAAAAAAAAAAGTAATCCACATCCTGTCAATACAGTCATTAAATCAGACGATGCAATTTTTCAAGAAGATAGGTTTAACTCAATCCCAAAGCTCGATGATATTTCTCATTCTAATAGGAAGTCAAATCCAGAGAATAATATTTCCAATAATAATACCTTAGAAGAAATGGAAATTAAAAGTAAAAAAGGCTAGGAAGGCAAAAACCTATGGTTTGAATATTAGGAGTGCAAACCATCCTTAAGAGTCTTCACTGTATCCTAAAGGAAATATAATTTGCCATCAACTCAATTTACACCCGAAAATTGGAATAGGTAGGGGTGAATTAAACCTAAAAAAAAAGTGTTGTTCATGCCTTGAAAACACCATATACAACTTCCTTCTTCATCTATTCTTCTTCTACTCTTTAGATCAACTATTCACTCCAAAATAATTTGATAAGTGAAAGAGTGAACTTCGTTGTTCAATTGAATTATATAGAAGTTATTTAAAATTTAATATTTACACACGCAGACATATCCTGTTTTGTAGCACTTAACATGTACTTTTGTTTTTTATTGTTTCTAAAATCTTTTTGTCCAGAAATGATAGTGAGATTATGAACATGCTTTTGGAGAAACTAGATGAATACTTGTTTCATGATCTCCCGCCACATCCAGTGGGGTTGCACCGTCAGGTGAAAGATGTACTTGACCTGTTGAAAGGTGAGACTTATTCCATGATCGGAATATGGGGGGTTGCAGGTATTGGCAAAACTACTTTTGCTAGAGCTATCTATGACAGAATCGGTGGCAAGTTTGAGAGCAAAAGTTTCCTTGCAAATATCAATTATGAGTGGAAGAAAGATAATGGTCTACTTCACCTACGACAGCAACTTATTTCAGATGTTCTCGAAACAGAAAGTGACTTGATTCATGATGTTAAGATGGTAACTAGTCCAATGAAGGAGGTACTCTCCAATAAAAGTGTACTTGTGGTATTTGATGATTTGAATCAAATAGACCAACTCATAGCGTTATGTTCAAGTAGTGATATGAGCTTTGGCAAACGGAGTTTGGTATTTGTTACATCCATAAATAAGGATCTACTTCTTGATCTTGGATTCTAATTGTATGAAATGAAGACGTTGGACGAAAGTGAGTCTCTTGAGCTTTTTAGTTGGCATGCGTTCGAGAAATTTCATCCAATAAATGATTTCATGAATCTTTCACGGAAAGCAATACCTTTTTGTGAAGGACTGCCATTGGCTCTTGAAGTTATTGGCTCTCTTTTGCACAAGACAGTGAAGCCGAAGTGGAATAATGTGTTGAAGAAATTGAGAGGTATTCCACATGGTCAAATCCAAGAGAAACTCAAGATATGCTTTGACTTTTAAATGATTCAGAGAAAGATTTATTCTTCAATATAACTTCGTTCTATATGGGTCAGAATGTGCACGATTTTATACAAATGTTAAAGGGTTCAGGATTTCCTGTAGAAAAGGCAATGCATGAAATTATAGAGCGGGGCCTTGTAAAAGTTGATATGAATGGCAAGCTTAACGTTCATGATTTACTACGATATAGGAAGGCAAATAAGTCCTAACAAGATAAAACATGAATATCTCTATGATGCATTCTTGAGTTTTAGAGGAGAAGATACACGTAAATCTTTTACTAGTCATCTTTGCACTGCTTTCAAGAACGCAGGTATTGAGGTCTTCATGGATGAAGAGGGGATTCAAAGGGGTGAAGCCATTTCTTCCTCTTTATTGCAAGCAATTGAAAGTTCTAGAATGTCAATAATTATATTCTCAAAAAATTATGGTGGATCTAGTTGGTGCTTGCAAGAATTAGAGAAAATCATGGAGTGTCACAAAACAACTCATCAACAGGTTTTACCAATATTTTACAATGTGCAACCATGTTCGTAAACAACAAAATACTTTTGGAGAAGCATGGGCAAGACTGACACTAAGAAACTCAACAAGTAAATTGAAGAAGATGATCAATTGGAAGAGAGCACTCATTGAAGCTGCGAATATATCCGGGTGGGACTTGAATGAATAGAGGTAATTTTGATTGTCATTTTTTTTTTTTTGCGAACAAGTGAACAAGTTTGATTATATTTTACCTGTTACTGTATGAAATCTCCAAATGAAAACAATCATATTAAGAAAAGAAAATATTTGGTTGTAATTAGGATGTAAATGACCAAGCTTAGTCCTGAAAATCACGCAATGAGCACTAAATAAATCTTAAAAATAAGGTAGCCAGGACAACTAAAAAAGGTTTTTGTGATTTTCTTTGAAAAAAATGCGACAGAAGAGGTGGTTAAATTTAGTTTCACACATAACAAACACCTAAAAATAGATTTTAGCTAACACTGATTTTAAGATCAGGAAATAGATCCAAGCACTTAGAAAAGAATTGCTGGTTCCAAGATCAATTGAATGCCAAAAGTGATCTTGACTTATGCAACTCATTTTTGCCAAAAATAAAACAGAGAGAATTTAAAATTATAAAGAAATTAAAATTAAAAATGGATTTGGATTTGGAACAAATCCAAATTCAAGAATATTTGTGTATCTAAATGAAAGATTTGATCCAAATCCAAATCCAAATTGAAATCCCTATTAATCTAGAAGCACCCTTAAACAAGTTTAGTTAGCACTGATGTTAAGATCAAGAAATATATCCAAGCACTTAGAAAAGAATTTTTAGTCTCCAAAATCAATAATTGAATGCCAAAAGTGATATTGATTTATATAACTTGTTTTTACCAGAACTGAAACAGAGATGATTGACGATATTGTTGAAACTATTACAATGAAGCTAGACAGCAAAGATTTATTTGTTGCTCACCACCCAGTCGGAGTGGAGCCTCGCGTGCAACATATCATCAAGTTGCTGACTAATAAATCAAATGAGGTTATCATAGTTGGGATATGGGGGATGGGGGGGATTGGTAAGACTACTATTGCTAAAGCCATCTTCAATGAAATTGGTCACACTTTTGAAGGAAAGAGTTTCCTCTCAAATGTGAGGGAAGTGTGGAAGCAAGATAATGGTCAAGTTTATCTACAAAAACAAATTCTTTCAAGCATCTTTAATACGAGAAGAGTGAAGCTAACAAGTGTAGAAATGGGGACAACTCTAATCAAGAAAATGCTTTGTAAGAAAAGAGCCCTTGTTGTTCTTGATGATGTGGATACTGAAGATCAGTTGAAAGCTTTATGTGGAAGTCATGAATGGTTTGGTCAAGGTAGTAGAATCATCATCACTACTAGAGATGAACGGCTACTCAGGATCCTTGGATTGGATGATCATAGCATATACAATATGAAAGAAATGAATGACAATGAATCTCTTGAGCTTTTTAGCTGGCATGCATTCAAGCAACCAGTCCCAGAAGAAGATTTTGTTGATCTTTCAAGAAGTATAGCTTCTTATTCAGGAGGTTTACCGCTGGCTCTTGAAGTTCTTGGATCCTATTTGTCTGATAGGGAGGCAATGATATGGAAGAGTGTTTTAGAGAAACTGCAGCAAATTCCAAATGATCAAATACACGAAAAGCTAAAAATAAATTATGATGGTTTGAGTGATCAAACAGAGAAAGATATATTTCTTGATATATGTTGTTTTTTTATTGGAAAGGATAGAAGTTATGCTATACAAATATTAAATGGTTGTAGACTTCATGCAGATATTGGAATTATTCGTTTGATAGAGACTAGCCTTGTAAAAGTTGGCAAGAAAAATAAACTCGATATGCATGACTTACTACGTGATATGAGAAGACACATCATTCATGAGCAATCACAAGAGGAGCCTGAGAAGAGAAGTAGATTATGGTTTCATGATGACGTCCTAGATGTTTTGAGAAATTGCACTGTAAGAATGTCCCTCATGACTTACTATCATATTGTTTAAGCTGTTTCTTTATTAGTCATTCTGCACTCCCAATTTTTAAGTTGACTGTTGTGGGTTCAAACATTTTTATCTCTTATGTTGCTTGTTTTGCATTATATTATATTTCAATAAGTGAAATATCATTTTTTTAATTTTCTTTTACTTCTATTTAATAGGGAACAAAAGCAATTAAGGGTTTGGCTTTAAACATGTCAACGAACAATTCAATATCCTTCAGTACCAAAGCATTTGAAAACATGAAGAAGCTTCGTTTGCTCCAACTTGATCATGTACAACTTGCTGGAGACTTTGGCTATCTATCAAAGGAGTTAAGATGGCTTTGTTGGCATGGATTTTCCTTAGAAAACTTGCCAACTAATTTGTGTCTAGAAATATGGTTGCCATAGACTTAAAGTGGAGTGATCTCACACAAGTATGGAAGAAAAGCCAGGTATTGATCACAATGAAAATTTTAAATTAAACATGAGTAGCAATAGTTGTATCAATTTGTTTCCATATACATTTTTATTTTTTTCCATTTATTGTGTGATTTATTTTCAAATGTTCTATTAGTACATGCAGATGCTACATTGCTTGAAAATTCTCAATCTAAGCCATTGTCATCATTTGACAAAAACACCTGACTTTTCAAAGTTACCATATCTTGAAAAGTTAATACTCAAAGATTGTCCACTTTTGTCTTCAATTCACCCCTCCATTGGAGATCTTAAATATATTATTTTGTTAAAGTTAAAGGATTGCAAAGGCCTCAATCATCTCCCGAAAGGCATATATAACTTGAAATCTTTGAAAACTCTCAATTTTTCTGGTTGTTCGATGATTGACAAGTTGAAAGAGGACATTGGCCAAATGGAATCCTTGACAACACTGGTGGCAAACCAAACTTCTATAGCACAAGTTCCCTTCTCATTAGTGAGATTGAAAAGCATTAAATATGTGACTTTATGTGGCTATGAAGGATTGTCACGTGATGTATTTCCATCCATTGTTTTGTCTTGGATGTCACCAACAATTCATTCAAAGTCCTTGTTACGAGCATGTAGAATCATGCCATCTTTAATAAAGGGCCTATGACATCCTTTATTTGCTATCCGTGAAGCACTAGAAGCAAGACCAAGCACATCTCAAGATTCATGTGGAAAAACTCAAGTGTTTATTGGTTTTCATGAGCAAGCTCACATGGAAAGGTTAGAGACATGCATGAGTTCATTAACTATTCACATGGGCGGGATCAACAAAGTAATGGATGCACTTTTAAAGAGCATTTCACAGGTTATTTAATATCTTTCTCTCTCTTCTGAAACCTATGCATATCAAATGTAGGTTAAACTTTAATAAATTTCATCTAGGTGTAATAATGTATATTATACTGTTAACACAAATATTATGTGCGCTCAAGTGTGTAATAATGTACTTTATGCTAAGTTGTTAACCATTCAAGGCAGTTATACAAATTTTAAATTTAATAGACCAATCATTTTGGAAGAGGTAATAATTGGAGATCATCATGAGATTAAATAGTTAAATAAATTATCTAGATTCCTAGTAATTTTAGATGATTTTGTATTAACAATCCTCAGAGAAACCACCACGAATGTATTTTTCAATTAAAACCAGGGGCTTAATACTCCTGGTGGTCTTTGATTAAGTACACCTATACAATGTTCAGTGAAAGAGTAATTAGAAAGTATCAAATATGTGTGTTAAATGTTAAATGGTCATTATAGTTTATTATACTATTATATTTCCTCTGTTATCAATTAATTGGGGCATTTTTTTCTTGTGTTCATGGAATAGGGATCGAGTGATGGAGGGGTTGACTATTCTCATCCTAAAGATAATTATCCTGATTGGCTGTATTTTGAGAATGAAGGATCTTCTATATCATTTAAAATGCCTCAAGTTTTTGGTCGTTGTTTAATAGGAATGATCGTCTACATCATCTTTTCATCTTCTCAAGATAGCATGGCATCTGTATATCCTGTTGGCATCATGATAAAGAATTTCACAAAGGGTACTATGGAGTTTTACAGAAGAGATGATGGCAACGACTTCTGCTGATGAAGAATGGCAGAAAATAATACCTCATCTGGAACCTGAAAATGAGGTGGAAATTATGGTCAATTTTGCTCAAAAACATATTGTGAAGAAGACATTAATCTACCTAGTATATAGTGAAGAAATTAAAAGGCTCAACATCACTTGATGGTGTTAAATATTGATAATAGGTTTGTAATTTTTTTGTCAATTGGGGTTGTTGTACAAGATTTGCATTGTGTTTATTCTTAATATATATTGATCAATGTTTGTTTCTATGTAATTGATGACTTCCAATATTTTTTTTTTTTGAATTTATTGGTGTCTTTAATGCAAATGAAAGTCATTTATTTAAATTTATTATCAAAATATGATTAAGTGGATGATTATGTGTGAGAATGGATATGAAAATGTAATTGAAAGTTAGTGGACTAATTTTAGCGATAATTTTAAATTTTAAATTTTATACATGTAAGAAGACCCAATTTATGGATCCAAAGGTAAAAATTTTGAAACCTAAGTATAAGAAAATAAATCTAAAAAGAAATTCTGTATAAGTCATGTTTACTATAGCAAAACTCAAATTTTAATAAAACACACATATAACAACCTAAAAATTTGAGCAAAGTTAAATATATATATATATATATATAAATTTATGTTTTGATAATAATTATATTAATCTTGAGAATGATTATGTCGAGAATGGATGTTAGCGCAGTGGAAGATGGTGCGCATGTTATGCACCGAGTCCCAGCAAATACTTGGCACCAAGTCTCGGCTTCGAATTCCAGACCCCTCAAAAGAGGGTTTTTAATTTCATTTTATTTTGCCTATTTCAGCTTCCAAAATGACAAAAGTACCCTCATTTCATCAGCTTTTATTTTCTCCTTCTCTTCTTTTTCCCTGTTCAGTCGTGAGTCACCAGAGCTAAAGAAATTTCTGGATCTTCATTTTGTGGCCTTCGATCTTGCCTTCTCCGCCGTTCCATCATTGTTGTCGGTGGTTGTAGGCTCGTCGTCACCTCGCAGAAAACATCCAGGTCTACTAACTTTATTTTTTTTTCATTTTTGTTCTGTTTTCTCTGGTCTGTGACACCGTCGATCACTGCTGAGGGGGGTTCTATTGATCTTTGCTTCTGGCTGATGTCATCAGAGACTGTGATGACTGAAATTTTCTCTGTTGGCAGCTTCTTTTCTATTTCCCTTTGGTTTGTGCACTCCGTCAGCTCTCTCTCTCTCTCCTCCATCTTCCCTGTTATGCGTCGCCGGCCAACCTCCTTCTTCCTTGTTCGAGCAACATCTTATTCTCTTAGCTTCCATCATTGTTGATTAGAGGTAAGGATTTCCAAATCCTTCCTCTCTTTTCGGTTCTGCAGTGTGTGTTTGTGTTGAAAAGAGTGTTCAAGTTGTGATGCTTCCTCTTAGCTCCAGTAGATACGTGAATGGTGGAGTAGATAGGGGTTTAATCAAGCTGAAAATTTAAGCTAAGGACATATTTTGGTAGTTTATTCCTCCGACAGTGGGATTATTGCAAAGGGAAAGATTAGATTTAATTTTATTTGAACGTATTTTGATTTTCATTGAAGGAATGAAATTGGAAAGCCGAATTAATTTAAGTATTGGCATTAAAGAGTTGTTGGAAAAATTGTGGGATGAGATATGAAGAGAAGAGCTTAACATTAAAACTTGAAAATATGCATGTGAGGTGTTACCCTTAGAAGAGTTTTGTTTAATTTTGATATTTTTTTAAAATTTTATTGGTTATTGTAAGAAGTATAATTAGTATAGGTGTTGGTATTGATCCATGAATTAAAGTTGGGAGTTACAAAGATGATTTGACTATGAAATTAATAATATATGATTATTTGAATTATGGAAATGAATGGGTTGTTGATGGGAGATTGTATTTTAATAGACTATTGAGCTATGATTTTAAGGGATTTTTATATGTAAAGTCTTGATTTTAAAATTTTAAATTGATTATAGCTAAATTTTGATGGTGGAAATGTTGTGAGAAAATTATTGGACTTATTGAAAGTTTGTTTAAAAATCTTAAATTAATTTATAGGGGATTTGGAGGAAGAGAAATTTAATTGACATTGAAAGGTGAATTCTTAAATTTTAGAAATTTCAAGTAAGTGGATAGCGTTCCAACTTATTTTTTAAACAAAAATTATCTTGACTAAAATATTATATTTTCATATAAATCATTAATAGTAACAATGAATTTATTGGCTATTTGATTTTTAATTTACTTTATTTTGTGAAACTCTCTTGATCAGATTCTATGATTTTAATTAACCAGTAAATGCAAGATTCGACTTCAATTGTGAGATTTCATTTAGAAAATATTGGATTGATACAGAAAACGATTCATGCGAGTTCAACATTAAAAATATAAATTTTATTTAATAGTGATTATTTTCTTACATGTTTGAAATTGGTTTTGAAAGGGATTTTATACAGAACAATAATTGTTAGCGGCAGTTCCATTAGCCTTGGCGCCTTGGTAAATAATTAGTTAGTTTGAATTTCGTGAGCCTCATTCTTTTGTTTATTGTTCGTGGGTCTAATACCCGTGTTTGATTTTATGGCTTCGAGCCACATTTGGTTAGCATTACTCTCATGGACTGTGTGTCTACGTTTGTTTTCATAGCATGAGTCGTGTTTGGTTATTTTTCTCATGAACTGTATGTCTACGTTTGTAATTTGTTTTGATAAGTCTTTATAATTATGAGTTTTTATTTTTTTTATGGATATATTTTTCATTGGTTTTGATTAGTGACATATTTATAATTATTTAATGTAGTTATTTGCTTTATTGAAATTAAATGATAATGACACTTGATATAATATTTAATGAATTATGATTTTATTTAAAGTTACATAGAGTCTTTTTATGTTGAATTTTATTAAATATTTATTGCAAAAATTGTCATCTCTTGCACACATAATTATTTTTAATTTTTATTTTATACATATTTAATTATTTATTGTTGGGATATTATTCATTAAAAATTTATTTTGGTCTCAGATTTATTAGCTGGCATTGATCCTGCCGCTGACCTCTGAAGGGGAATACAACATTACTGGGTACTAATTTTGTTTGGTATTGTAACATTTTGATGTAAATGTTTAAGACTTGTGTATCATAATTTAGAAGTAAAATTAGTTGCTCCACATAAGTTAAAGTTAGGGTTTTATTTTGATATATATTGTTTGCTAACTGAAAGGAGTTAAACTCCTAATTGGTACTATAATTGTGAAAAATTATTGTGTTGTAGAATTTTCAAGAGATCTTATTTAATAGAGAGGTTCTACCGAAATTTCTACAAAAAATACTAGAGCTTTTATTATAAAGTTTGTCATAATTTTCAGTATAAATTCAATTATGTATTAAAATAAAAAGATTGCTATCAATTTAAGGCTTAAGGGATGTGTGATATGATTCATATTTTTATGCCTGTCACTTTCTATTTTTAGGGCGTGACAACATAGTTTTCATCTTTAACGAATTTTTAGGATGTTGGGACCTTATTTTTTACCATTCCTCACTTTTAGCAACTATAGAATGTTCAGGAAAAGGGAAAGAGCCAAAGGAGGGTTGGAGAAATTTGAGTTAGCAGAAAATTAAGGGTTTGGCTGAAGATTGATCCAATTAAGCATTTCTTCTCCTTCTTCTCTTTGTTTTCCTGTACTTATTTGTAATAACCCAAAATAACAACAACAACAATAATAAATTTTAAGTAAAAATTTATCATGTAATAATGTATTTTAATAGTAATTATATTAATTCTTGTGATAAATATGACAAGAAGGGTAGCTGGTGTTATTGCTTACTGCAAGTGCACAGATCGTAGCAATATAAGATGAGTAAAGTATCGTTTCTTCGAGGATTTGTTTAAAAACAATGATCAAGCAAAAAAATTAAACAAATTCGATCAAGTTGAGCTAAATACAATTAGGAAAAGTTTGATCTTGTAAACTAAATTAACACTAGTAAATAAAGAAAAGTAATTGATTCACACAACATAAATTAGGACTTAGGATTATTTATCTCACTTGCATTTTATAACATTGAAATTACTTCCTCTCATAAATACTTTTGAAAATAAGTGTTAAACCTAGGGTTCTAAAAATACTTGGACAAGCTCTCTCAAGTCATGAACAAGTGTTTAGTAAAATTAATTGCCCAAATCTCTTATTACAATTAATAAAACTGAATTTTGAACACCAACCCTAATGTGGTTATGCAAGACTAGCAAGTATATCTCTATCTTACTAGCAAAACCATCCATTCAACATGCAAATATCAAGTTCTTGCATAATTTTACCCAAGTTCTACACTCAACCTAACCCTCTCAAGTATCAATTAAGTGAACCCAACATCTAAATGGTGGCCAATCACTTAAAAGCATAAAGGAAAGAGTAAAATAAACATATATATCATTAATCACAAAAAGAGAGGAGGAACATAATGTTAATCCATACAAGTGTTCAAAATAATTTTGAGCAAAAAGTTTAGCTACTTATAAACATCAAAAAGCTACAAATACATAAGATATTCATAACCATTACAAGATTAGAAGAAGAGAAATGGAGAAGAATCAAAGGAACTAAAGAAATAGAGCTTCAAATCTCTTCAAAGCTTCAACTCTTGGACCCAATTCATTCAAAGCTCAAACCCTAGTGCAACAAAGCTCCTAAAGTGTCTTCAAGTGTGTAGAATGACTTTTAGGTTGAGCTCTCTGAATAGATGTGTCCTACCCAACCAATTTTAGACTTAATAAAACACAGCGTTTTCTGACAATAGCGAAAGTCGAGAACGAAAGTTACGACTTTGACAGTTTTACTCAGTTTTTATAGCTAACGAAAATTATTCAATTTATGCTTGATTTCTTCATCCAAACTCCTTCCAAAAACATTTACAAAACTCCAAAAATACTTCTAATCAAGTCTTCAACCAAATTAACACAAAATTAGGCTAAAAAATATCAAATTAAAGCTAAGAATATAAACCCAAAACAAAATGTATATTTTCCTAATTTGGACAGTAAAAACATATACAATTGAGCCAAAATTGATTAGAATCTAAGGAAAATGTGATGAAATAATACGAAATTCTAGAGATTAACATACCCCCAAGCTTACATTTTTACTCGTCCTCGAGTAAAATAACCAATAAAACAACTAGATTGATCAATTATCCATCTACTAAGCATGCATGAAAATTTCCTCACTAGTTGCTCCAAATCTATATCAAAGAGGATAGCAGTGAAATATAAAGGAATGCCTGATTCACAAGTTAAGAACTTGCTTGTTAACAATATAGAATGTGTGTGTGTGAGACCAGAAAATGATTCTCTTGCAACTATCAAGTTAAGATGTAATAACTCAATATGCATAAAACAAGCTCAATATCAAGACTTCATATGCCTAAACTCTTCCTCTTTTTTCACTAAAAGATCACTTCACATAATCCAAAATCAATGAGACTTTGTAAGCTTGTAGCGTGGTTAAAGGTTTTGAGCTAATAGAAAGAAAAGGATAAATGGAATTCAAAGAGCTTGAGATAAATGATAATGAAAAACAAACCATTCCATCTTTACTAGCCAAATACCTTCCCCTAAACTTATCTCAAAAATCATTTCTTATTCTCCAAATTTATTGATATTGAAACTTTTTTTTTTATTGCATTTTTTTTTCTTTTCATGTATATTTCTATTTTTTATACTTTTTTTAGGAGCACAATTAGTGGAATCCTACACTTCATTTCTATTCCTCACCCAAATTTATATTAACAACACCTCTTAACAACTAAACCAATCTTCACAACTAACAATAATTTATCACTTATCTCAAGAGTAAGGTAGTTCATAATTTTTTTTAAGTGGTAGAGGTTAAGGTCTAATGTGGGTTTCAAAAAGAAAATTTACATGGTTTTCAATTCAAGGCTCAAAAGGGATTCAAGTGGGAATAATGCGATAGGTAGGATTAAAAGGCTCAAACGCATTTAAAAGAATGCCCAAATCATTTTTCAACATCATGTGAAGTAATTAAAATGCTTCAAGAGATTTCAAAATAGGTTTTAAAGTTTCTCAATTGAGAAAGAAAATGTACATCAATTTACCACAAAATTCCCTAACAGAGGCACTCAAATCATTGTCTGATGCAAAAGTACAAAAAAAGATTTCACAAATTGCTAGAAAACAAGCCTTAACACTACAAATCAAGCATGCCAAAATATTGATCAAAACTTCCTAAAAAATATACAGTCTAAGCAACATTCTATCATTAGACCAACATTCAATTCAAAAATAATTTCTCAATCTAGATCAAATTTAAAAAAAAAAGGAATAGTAAATATCTAAGTTTCAAAATTGAATTTCATGTCAATTCAGCCAAAATAATACCCTCACCTCCAAACTTAAATTGAACAATGTCCTCACTGTCAAAAAGAAAAAATAAAGGTCCTCTCTCATGTAACTTAACAACCAAAAAGAAGTTGCATGAGAGGCACAAAAATTGATATCTGTAACAGTATAATTGAAATATATCCACAGGCAGCCCAAAAATACAACTAACTACGCTAGCATGTACAATAGCAATCAAATTGTCACAGAATAATTAGTTGCAAGAGATTAGTCAAGGTATCATAGATTAACTACAAAAAGATCAAAGTTAGCCCTACACAAAAGATAACGGCTAACCATATTTACCCAAAAAGAGATCATCAATGGCTAGTTAGAATTAAAAACAGAAATAAAAGGCAGTAAATTAAAGAAAGGTGAAGCTAGTCAGTGTGAGTGTCAAAATATTAGTCAACATTAGTGTTAGCCTCCTCTTCTTCCTCTGACAAGTCTATCTAGAATCTTTGATGCAAGAATAGCTCAATGTGGTAGAGCCTAAAGTCAATCCAATCAAGCTGGCTCTGGAGACCCTCATGCATATTCTGGATGAGTGCTGTGAGGTTGCTCAATGTAGGCTCAACATTAAGTGGATCAATATGCCTCATACCATTTGCATCTTATTCTGGCACATCTCTTAGTCCCTTAACACATTAAATTTCTTTATAATTGAACTTTTGCAAAGGAGAGAGCATAAGATTCTTCGGGTAAGTGGGAACCTCCTTTTCTAAGTACACTTGAGTAATCAAGTGTGGGAATTGAAATGCCTGCTTGCGATATTTGCTTCTGGGAAACATTCACATGTACTCAAACATGATCTTTGAAAAGTCAACAAGTTGCCTCATCATCATAGTATACAAAAGGGCAACTTGGTCAACAGTCACATCACTCATATGGGTCATTGGGATAACATTAAATGGCAAGAAGTGCCACCATATATGAGTTGTCCTATTCAGATTATAGTGCAGAATGCTCTTGGGATTGCAATGAGTATTATGTTACTAAATATTTTTGTTAGGGAGGCATAGCATTTAGACTACATTATTAAATGGCAATTGATTTCTATCATCCTCGTAAATGGTATATTGGCACTCTTCCATTGTAGAAAGGTTGTACACCTTTCAAAATGTGTCTACAGTGATCTCTACCTATTTGCCCCTTATCTTGCATCACAATATATCCTTATAAGCAACATAAGCATAGTAAGCTTCAATAAGCGGTTGAGAGGCATAGCTCCATTTATAGATGAGGATAGTAGCATGATAAACATTATGCAAATCATTGTAAAATTGTTCAAACTATCTCAAAGGGAAGGGTCTCTCTTGGACTATTTTTTACTCCTTTAAATATTGCTTAAAATAATTTTGAATTGTATCAGTAGCAAATCAGGTTTTATCCTATCCCGATGCCTTGGAGCTTTCACCAACTTCAGTAACTTTGGCTTTTTTAGAAAGTGAGATACTTTTCTTACCCATGGCCTACAAGAAAGCATACAACACAACACCATAAAGCAATAGCCAGTAAAAGTAAGGACAAAAGTTTAAACCAGAACAAGTAAGTTTCAATGAAGCTAACACAAAACAGCACTTTGCACAACATGTTTAAACGAGGTCTAGCTTCCACATAAATAGATTTGAACTTAGTAAAGGATACAAAACATGAAGAGAAAAGTCAAGTCCAAAATCAAGAGGCATGACATTGAGTGTTGAGCATAAATCACAATAATAATCTCAAGTTAAACAATGAAAGTGACTCCAAAACAAATTTAGCTCATTTATGTGCAAAGCACACATTTAATTATCAATATTCCAAATGAAAAAATTTTCCAATCTCAACACCCAATGCTAAAATTCCCAATATGATGCTAAAATTTCCAAT